TGGAAGGCTGAGGCAGAAGGATCGCTGGAGCCTAGCAGGTCAACGCTGGGGTAGCCATGAACATGCCACTGCACTCCAGCCTGGGCGATGGAGTAAGACTCCAACTCAAAAAAAAAAAAAAATTAAAAAAAAAAAGTTCTGTGAGTCTTGACAAACGCATAGTGCTATGTGTTCATTACAATATCACACAAAAGTTTCACTACCTTAAAAAAATTGCTTCCTTCACCTATTCAATCCTCTTCCCTGCCTGAACACCCAATCTGTTTACTATCTCTATAGTTTTGCCCTTTCTAGAATGTCATATCATTGGAATCACACAGTATGAGCAGACTGGTTTCTTTTCCTTCACAATTTAACATGCATCCATGTTTTTACATGACTTGACAGCTCATTCTTTATTGTTGCCAAATAGCATTCTGTTGTATGGATGTATCATACTTTACCAATTCAACCATTAAAGGGTATCTTGGTTGCATCAGCTTTTGGTGATTATGAAATTATATTGCTTCATAGGGAGAACAACAACCATGGCTCTGCACTCCCCCATGGCTGTGGGCCTCAACAAGGGCCACCAGGTGACCAAGAATGTGAGCCGCCACCACGGGTACCTGACCAAGCACACCAAGTTCCTGTGGAACATGATCCAATAGGGGCATGATCTGAGAGACGTGTGGCTTTGCCCTGCACAAGCGGGGCACCATGGAGCTGCTCAAGGTTTCCAAGGACAGACGGGTGCTCAAGTTCATCAAGAAATGGGTAGAGATATACATCTGCACCAAGAGGAAGTGAGAGAAGCTGAGCAATGTCCTGGCCGCCATGAGGAAGGTGGCTGCCAAGAAGGACTGAGCCTTTCCCCCAGTTCCCCATAAAGCCTTTGCAAAAAAAAAAAAAAAATTATATTGCTTTATAAACATTCACATGCAAGTTTTCGTGTGGATGGTTATGCTTAGCTTTGTAAGACACTTCCAAATTGACTTCTAGGGTATCATTTTTTATTACCATCAGCAATGAATAAGAGTTCCCCTTGTTCCACATCTTCACCAGCATTTGGTATTGTCATTTTTTGTTTTTGTTTTTTTCTGTTTTAGCCATTCTGAGAAGTGTATAGTGGTATCTCATTGTTGTTTTAACTTGCATTCCCTAATGATAAATGATATTGAGCATTTCTTCAAATGCTTGTCATCTGTGTATTTTCTTTGGTGAGGTGTCTGTTCAGACCTTACCCCTTTGTTTATTGGGTTGTTTTTAACTTAGTAAGTTTTATGAGTTATTTGTATATTTTGTATATAAATCCTGTATCAGACATGTGTTTTGCAAATATTTTCTCCCAGCCTATAGTTTGTCTTTTTATTCTTTTAATTGCTTAATATTTTGAATTTGAAAAATGTCTCAGTAAGATTTAACAACATCATCAAAGGGCCTAGGCATAGAGGGAACATACCTCAAAACAGCAGAAGCCATCTACAATAAACCCACAGCCAACATATTGCTAAATGGACAAAAATTGGAAGCATTTTCCCTGAAAACCAGAATAAGACAAGGCTGCCCACTTTCACCTCTCCTGTTCAACTTAGTGTTGGTTCCTATCTACAATAATCAGACAAAAGAAGGAAATCAGGGGCATCCAAATAGGAAAAGAGGAAGCCTCTTTGCTGACAATATGGTTCTATACCCGAAAATCCAAGAGAATCTGTCAAAAACCTTCTTGCACTGATAAAGGATTTTGGCAGTCTCAGGGTACAAAATCAATGTGCAAAAGACAGTCGCAGTCTTATACACCAACAACAAACAGGCAGAGAACCAAATAAAAAGCATGATCCCATTTACAATAGCAACAAAAAAGATGAAATACCCCGGCATCTTCCTAACCAGACAAGTGAAAGACCTTTACAATGAGAACTACAAAACACTGCTCAAAGAAATCCAAGAAGACACAAACAAATGGAAAAATATTCCATGCTCATGAATAGGAAAAATCAACATTGTTAAGATGTCCATCCTACCAAAAGCAATCTACAGAGTCAATGCAATACCCATGAAGTTACCAGCATCATTCTTCTCAGACCTGGAAATGACAATACAGAAATTCATATGGAAACATAAATGACCACGAGTAGCCAAAACAATCCTCAGCAAAAAAAAAAAAACCAAAAAACCAAACAACAAAAACAAACAAACAAACAAAAAACCAAAGCAGGATATATCACACTTCCAGACTTTAAACTTTATTTTAAATCTACAATAATCAAAACAGCCTGGAATTGGTACAAGAACAGACATATAGACCAACAGATTCCAGAAGAAAAGCCTCAATTTCTCAACCAACTCATCTTTGACAAAGCCTCCACTAACAACCACTGGGAGAGGAGAACTTATTCTGTAAATGGTGCTGGGAAAACTAGCTGACCATATGCAGAAGATTAAAACAAGAGCTCTACCTATCACTATACACAAAAATCAACTCTAAATGGTTCAAAGACCTAAACATAAAACCTCAAACTATAAGAACCTTAGAAAATGCAAGAGACACCCTTATGGAAATTGGAACTGGCAACTAATTCCTGATCAAAACCCAAAATGCCCATGCCATAAGAAATAAGATGGACAAGTAGGACCTCATCAAACTGAAAACCCTCTGCAAAGCAAAAGAAACCAACATGAGAGCAGGGAGACAGCCCACAGACTGGGAAAAAATATTTGCCAACTGTATATCTGAGAAAGGCCTAACATCTAGGATCTACAAGGAACTCAAATGTGCCGAAAAGAAAAAAGCAAACAGCTCCATTAAAAAGTGGGCAAAAGATATGAATAGACACTTCACAGAAGAAGACATACGAGCAGCCAACAAATACATTAAAAAATGCTCAGCCTCACTAGTCATCAGAGAGATGCAAATTAAAACCACACTGAGATATCACCTAACTCCAGTAAGGATGGCCATCATCAATAACTCAAAAAACAGATGCTGGAGAGGATGTAGGGAAAAGAGAACAGTTCTACACTGTTGGTGGGAGTGTAAACTAGCACATCCTCTGTAGAAAACAGTGTGGCGATTCCTAAAAGATCTAAAAATTGACATCCCATATAACTCAACAATCCCCCTTCTGGGAATATACCTGGAGGAACTCAAATCACTCTATGAAAAAGATACCTGCACACGCATGTTTATTGTAGCATTATTCACAACAGCAAAAACATGGAACCAACCATGCTGCCCATTGAAAGTGGACTGGAGTTTTAAAATGTGGTTCATATACACAATGGAATATTATGCAGCCATAAAAAAGGACAAAATTATGAACTTTGCAGCAACTTGGATGGACTTAGAGTCTATAGTACTGGGTGATCTATCACAGAAACAAAAAACTGAGTATCACATGTTCTCACTCATAAGCAGATACTTGAACAATTATCATAATACTATAAGAAAGGGACTGGCAATAGTGAGAAACTGCTGGGGGGTTGGGAGGGACACTTCATCCATAAGGGTACCTGATCTCAAATCAGGTGAAGCGGGGGTCAAAGTAAGGCCCAAACTTTACCTGTACAATAACCAGTTGTGTATGTAACCCTGAATTGTACCCATCTTTAAAATTAAAACATAAAAACAAAAATCATCAAAGGGTACCCATTTGAGACTGCTGATTTGTGAATTACAAAAAGTGACAGCCCCCACCCCCAGAAAGATCCAGACTCAGGCCAAGATATTTGCATTTCAGCCTCCATCCACTCCCTTGATGGGTGCCTTTGTGCTAAACACAAACTGTACAGTCACACTGTGACAACTCCCACTGCTCTTAGGTGCATCCATCATATGCTTTTAGAATCTTCCATGATGGGGCTCTTGCCCATTCTCCAGCCACATCTCACACTCTGGCCTTTCCTCTTTACACTCACAAGAGCCTTATCTCAGCAACTTGAAGGAGCCTGGCTCCCAGCTTCATTTATGTCTCCTCTGACATTGTGGCAGGCTGTCTTTTAAGACACCCCCCCACCAGGGATCCTCACCTCCTGGTGTTCATGACCTGGTATAGTCCCCTCCCCCTCCTGAGTGGGCTGGACCTGTGACTTGCTTCTAAGAAACAGAATAGAGCCCAAGTGATAGAACACCAGTTCCAACATTAGGCTGGGAGTGATGTAATTTGCCTTGCTTGCACATTCTCTCTTCCTTGTTTATGAGCTCACTCTGGTGAAACCAATGGCCATGTTGTGAGTTCTGTTCCAAGAGGCCTGGGTGGCAAGGAACTGGGGAAGGCCTTGGGCCTGCAGCTGATGAGGAGCCTGGGCCCCAGTCCAACAGCCCTCGAGGACATGAATCCTGACAACAACCATGTGAGTCACTGAAAGCAGAGTAAACTTGAGCCTCGAAATGGCTTCGATGGTCGGGCACGGTGGCTCAAGCCTGTAATCCCAGCACTTTGGAAGGCTGAGGTAAGAGAATTGCCTGAGTCCATGGGTTCAAGACAGGCTGGGCAACATGGTGAGTCCTTGTCTCTACAATAAATCAAAAATTAGCGGTCAAGGTAGCGCATACCTATAGTTCTGGCTACCTGGAAGGCTGAGGTGGAAGGATCGCCAGGGCCCAGCAGGTAGATGCCAGGGTGGCCGTAAGCGAGCCACTGCACTTCAGCCTGGGCGACAGAGTGAGACTCTAACTCAAAAAAAAAAAAGAGAGAGAGAGAAATGGCTTTGACCCAGGTTGCCATGTTGATTGAAGCCTTTTGAGAGACCCTGAGTCAGAGAACTCAGCTAACTACACTCACGTAGCCATAGAAAGAGGTTTAATGTTCAAAAGTCTTAACTATTTTTTGATTATGAGATTCTGTTTTCACATGTACCAAAGATACTCTCTCATAAGGCAAAAATGAACTTAGAGATGAATAAACAGAATGTTTCTTCACTAGTACACTAAAACATGGGGAAAAAAATGTTCCAATACATTGGAACACGTAGAAGTCAAGGAAATAAATAAATAATAAACTACTAAAAATAGAAAAATGAGCTTTCAAAAGCTTTCTGGAATACTTTAATAGTCTGTTGTTGAACTTTTAACAAAACTCTAAAAGTTTAATAATAATAACAAATATTAGTCCTGCATTAAGTGATGAAGTCCAAGTCGTTTACTTCAAATTCAGGGACTTCATTATAGAAGTAGAACGTACCAGATTATTTAGGAAATGCATGAGAGGATAGTGTTCTCATGACTAAGTCCAGGGTATCCTGAATCCTCATGTTATTTCTTTCTATCAGGGAAGAGTGTCTCCCAGACGGTTTTCTGTTTTCTTCTGGTTCAAGGGGGATGAGGGTATGGGGGTTGAAGAGACGTCGAGGCTCCCCCAGGATGCCAACTCTGGGAAGAGAATTGAGGCAGTGTAGTCAGGGTAGGTTGGACATACAGAGACATATTTCTTATAGACAGTTTTTAGGAAGAAAGCATCCAGATAACTTATGGGCAGGCCAAACTGCCCTTTGGGCAGGAATATAAATTCAATTCTACCCTACCTCCTCAGCTCACCAAAGGAAAACTCCATCAAGGTGGTTCTCAGACCAGGAGTCAAAAGTCATAGAAATTATAATAAGCCCACTCTTTAGCTCATGAACTTATGTATTCACAAGTCTGGCAAGTCTCCTACAAAGGCAAAACGCTTATCTGGAAAAGATCACCTCTCTGCTCATCAGAGACTGAGAGATGGCATTCTCTCTGCAGTGGTTACCTGTGTTCTACCCTTTTTAGCATATCAATTATTGTGAAAATTTATCAGACCCTTTGTCAAAAGCAAAAACTCAGTCTTTCTCCAAGACATCTGTGCCAGGCACACTCTTCTATGTTTCTCTAATAAACTCTGTTTTAAAACTTTGTTGGCTGCTCTGAAAATCATTTCAGGGTCAAATCAAAAAGCCCACAAGTTTTGTGCCATACTCCACCTAGCATCCTCTTGACTGACATAGCTGAAGCAGTGAGGTTCAAGATGGAGACAGAGGGCTGCAGTTGTGATTGTGTTTTTGCATGTGCACCTGTGTGTAAAACACACACACACATACACACACACACACACACACACACACATACACAAACACAATTTTTAAAAGCTTTCCCTGTTTTCATGAACTACCATTGTGGGTCCAAAACTTGATCCTTAGCAAGATTTTGAACTAGCCCTTACCACATTTCCCAAATAGAAAAGCCTCAGTCTTAAAAACAAACAAAACTTTCACAAACTAGATTTGGAGTCTAGCAAAACTTTCTAGCAATTCCCCCCTCCCAAGTCTAGATGTGTATGCCCCGAGATGCTCTGGAATGGAAACCCAGAGGAGCAGGGCAGAGGTGGGAACACAGGGGCTGTCACTCCCTGGAGAGGTATGATACCTGCACCCCACCCCATCCTGGCCACACCTAGAAAGCCACACTCAGGGCCCTCCTCTCTCCTCCCTGGGCCACTTACACTGGCATGGGCACAGAGTCCAGACATTCCATGTGCTCTTGCATCTGGGCTGGAAGTTTGATGCCTACTTGATGATACTTTTTCTCAAAGACATTCTGAGCTTTTTCCCTGAGGGATGGCAGCAGCGTAGATATGACCGGAGAGCGCATGTTAATGGCTTTTTTAATCGCTGGGCGTTTTGCCATCATTCTCCTGTGGAGACAGACAGGTGGCATTTAGGTCACATCATCCTGTTTTCTAGAAATGTCCTTAAGCTTAGGCAAGTCAAAAGGTCATACCTGAATTGTACAAAAGTCATGCGTTTCTTTTCCCCTCCTGACTCCTCATCTTCACGCTTCCTTCGAGGAATGTTGAACATATTGGTACGAAAGAGCCTCCCTATTTCTTCCTCAATCTCTGTCAAGTGCTGACGTCGGAAGACAATCCAAGCCACATATGTACAGAAAGTGTAAAAAGACTACGACAAAAAACAGACAAGGATCACAATCCCCTCTGTGATATGGAAAACTCCCACATGTCTCTGTAACACTGCCAAATAGACCCAAACCCAGAGAACCCAATTTCTCAATATTCTCGAAAAGCCGGGCAAAGTTATACATGTACTTACCTTTGCAGGAGGAAAATCAGACCAAAAATGTAAGATGTAGTGTACAGCTCATTAGCACCCTTTTTAGAAAGGATATTCACTAAAAATAAATGGCTGGCTGGGCACAGTGGCTCATGACTGTAATCCCAGCACTTTAGGAGGCCAAGGTGGGAGGATCGCTTGAACCCAGGAGTTTGAGACCAGTCTGGGTAACATAGCGAGACCCTGTCTCTACAATAAATCAAAAAATTAGCCAGGCCTGGTGGCAAGTGCCTGTAGTCCCAGCCACTTGTAAAGCTGAGAGGGAAGGATTGCCTGAGTCCAGCAGATCAAGGCTGTGGTGGCCATGAGTGTGCCACTGCACTCCAGCCTGGGTGACAGAGACTCTGACTCAAAAATAAACAAAGTATAAATAAATAAATAGATGCCCGACAAACGGCTATGGTCATTGCTATATATCATGTTTCATGTCAGAGAGAAAAGCCCCAAAGCGTAAGTGACTCACCTCAAAGAATTTCCAGTCTTTTTGTGTGTCTGATATTTTCTCCCTGCAATATAACAAATCACAACTATAGGTCAAGAGGAAAGTTCAATCTTTCCGTGATCTGGTCTTTCTCTTCCCCAAAAGGCAATATTATTACCCGTGGCCTCAAGACTATTCAGCTACATGAATGCTATCAAAAGGCATTTGCTATCAAAAGGTAAGGAGTCTCAGTATCTTTTTCTTCAACTTCCTAGGTTACCTGGATCAAAATCCCCAGGGTGTTTGGTCAAAAGTGAATCAATATAGCTGGGTACAGTGGCTCATGCCTATAATCCCAGCACCTTGGGAGGTGGAGGAGAGAGGACTGGCTGAGCCCAGGGTTTCAAGACCAGCTGGAGCAACTTGGCGAGATCTCGTCCTTGCAAAAAATTTTATAGATTAGCCAGGTGTGGTGGCGCACACCTGTAGTTCTAGCTTCTTGGAAGGCTGAGGTGGAAGGATCACCTGAGCCCAGCAGGTTGAGGCTGCGGGAGCTGTGAGCATGCCACTGCACTCCAGCCCGAGTGACAGAGTGAGACTCCGACTCAAAAAATAAAAGTTAATTAATATAAATTTGGGATAACCAAACCAAGGGGAAATGTATTTTCCCAGATGCTTCTGGGAGCTAAGGAAAGTGGAAATGTGATGAAGAGGTAACATGAGGCATTACGTAGGTACAGAAGTACAGAACTATAGGGCAAGTCTAAATTGAAGAAAAAGGAAAATAATCTTAAACGATGGTGTTGGCTATCAGGTGCAAATAGAAACAAACAAAACAGACAAATATGCCTCCCCTGGGTCTTAGACTAGGGTCTTTAAAGGAATAATTTGGCAGGCAGAGGGCTAGGGAATGGGTGATGACCTGGGCCATGATCAGAGCCCAAGATCAGCAGTGTGTTCCACCTCCTCCTGTCACAGGCAGTCCCTGTCCTTCCATGTCCTCTGCCAGCTGAAACCGGAGACCATGAGGACTTGCCAAGCTGGGCAAGCAAACCAGCCAAACTCTGTCTGGAACACCAAGCCAGCTTGCATTCTGGGAGATGGTACAGAGCAGAGCTTATGCTATTAGCACAACGCAAACCAACACTGTCTTGGCGAGGGGTTGAAGTAAAAGAGCAATTGCCCAGGAAACACACTTTCTTTCCTCTTTTCTTTCTCTGTTCTTTCTTTAGACATTAAAAGAAAAGGCAACATGAACCTCCTCCACGTTCCTTCATGTTGCCCTAAACACTGGAATTCTTTCTCTCTTAAAGCCCAAGCAAACTGATGTTGCCAACAACACAGAGATTAAGCACAGAATGTTGTGAGTCATTCCGAGTTAGCTGTGCATATGAAGCAGAAATGAGTCCATGAAATGGATACACAGAATGAGTATGCTTGGGGACCTCACAGCTTAAATCCCTTGCGGGTGAATTTTGAATCATTTTTCTGTCTTTTTTTGGGGGGGCATTTTATGATTTATATATTAAGTACATGATACTTAAATTGATTATAAATAACAAAATTTAAGCTCCCTCCAAATCCTATGCAAATTGAGACAGGGTTTATAATAGCACAATCCAACAGAAATATAATGCAAGCTATAAATGTACTTTAAAGTTTTCTAGTAGCCACAGTAAAAAGAAATAGGTAAAACTAATTTTAATAATATATTTATTTTATCCAAACCCCCAAAGTAATATCATTTCGATACATAAACAATATCTTAAAATTATAGTCTGACCAGGTTATGTCTGCTGCACAGAAAAGCCAACACACTGACAGCAGTTGGGGCCATAGAGAAAGAGTTTATCGCAAAGCACCTGGGTGAGGAGGACAGGAAATGTTTCTCAAATATGCCTCCCTGAGAGTCTTAGACTAGGGTTTTTAAAGGAATCATTTGGTAAGCAGAGGGCTAGGGAATGGGGGATGACTGCTTGGGGTTCGCCATGAGGGGGATGAAACTGCCTTTGTATACAGAGCCAACTTTCTGGGAGATGTCACAGGACTGGTGAACTCAGCTCCTTGGTATGTGTCCCAGGTCTGGGTGGGGTCATGGGTTCATCACAGTGCAGTCTGAAAAACATCTCAAACACTTGCTAGAGGTTTTGCAGTAGAGAGGCTCTTGCAAGTCCTGAGATCATCAGCTACTGAGCCCTGGGTATGAACCAAGATAGAGATAGGTTAGTAGGAAGGAATGCAGGGGGTGGGATCCTCAGAGATTAAAGCTACCCATGCTCTTCAGTGGATCAAACTTCTGGATGCCACCGAGGAGGTTTGTGCGACTTATACTTGTTGTGTAACAACAAGGTTGGGATATGAAGATAATCCATTGCTCACTATGGAAGTGAAAGCAAAAAAAAACAAAAACGAAAGCAAACTTACAAGCAACAGATCTGTCCATTTCTAACCACAGCTGCAACTCTGCAGGGTTCCACTTTCTTCCACAGCTTTTATCCCACAGCCCCATATTAATTTTACATAGGTGGTTTCAATTATTGGGATATCTTATTAATTTTAAAACCTTTTGTGTGCAGTGTTTACTTTTCACTTACAGCATGTTTCAATTGGGGCCAGCTACATTTCAAGAGCTCGAGAGCCGCATGAGGCAAGTGGCCACCATGCTTGTCGGCAAAGCCACTACACATTCCGCGTGTGAAGGCACAGTCAACCTGGTGGTAAATCCAGAGATTTCTAGAGGCCTGTTATGATGCTTTCTTATTCCTTCTCACTGCCTTAATCTCTTTGCTCCAAATCTCCAGGAGGAAACTCTACATTATTACTAGTCATTCCCAAAGGGATGCAAAGCCTAGAGCCAGGATTCTGGGCTGGAAGAAGAAAAATAGTTGTGTTCCCCACCTGCTGCTCTAGGTGAAAGCAGGTCAAGGCCTGCTCTATCAAGAGAGGCTGCAACAGGATGTGTTTGGGAGAAGGGGAAAAGGCTTGGTGCACATGACTGGGAGGAGCACAGAAGAATTGCTGGCTTAAGGATGACTTAAACGCCTGAGTCTCAAAGAGACTGCCTTTCTCCCCACTGTCATCCCCACCGCCAGCCTATTTGGTCATCTATCAGGTGACAGTTGCACTGGGAGCAGAGGACAAAGGTGTAAATCTTAGGGCAGAGGTGGGGGTGGAGCCAGAATGGGCTACAACCAAAGAACAGATCTAATTCTATGGCACAAGCCACCAAGGAAGTTTTCACGTGTGTCCCAGAAAACACAGAGAATTTTTATTGAACACGCTCATCAACATTTTGTCAAAGCTTTTGTGATACCAGGATTTCACAGATGTATTTAGAATAGAAAGGCATGTCCTGCCACTTCTCAAGAGACATGAAAACACTAAATTAACGAAGTGACCCAAATTGCTGGTTCTACTGAAATCTTTAATTAAACAACCTAGAAATAAACAGCACAGGGTATTGTATTCCAATACCAAGAGTACATATATCAGAGAGAAAAGTCTGAAAATATACATGAAAATACCAGCTTATTCACATTGGAAAGAAGCGAAATGAAGACATGTTAAAACCAGTTAATCCCTTAGAACTGGCAAAAACATTGTCCTAGAGAAAGAACAACATAAAGAACAATGTAGACTCCTGAATCAAGGACATAATCAACACCCATGGCCAAGTAACAACTTTTTATTGTAGCAAAAATCTGCTACAGTCTGTCTTCCACTATGTCCTTTCTTCAGGCCTTCGGCCCATATGGTGGCATATGCCTGTAGTCCCAGCAACTCGGGAGGCTAAAGCAGAAGGATCGCCTGAGCCCAGGAGTTTGAGGCTGCAGTGAGCTATAATCACACCACTGACACTCTAGCCTGGGTGACAGAGTGAGACTCAGTCTCTTAAAAAATTAAAAATAAAAAAGGAAATGGTAAAGCTGACTGTAATTTTATCATAACTTTTTTGAAACCTTTGTCAAGAGAAGAGAAAATGCCTCTTTTTCCTAAATAATGGAGTCTGTAGCAAGCTGAACCTCTGCCAACAGCCCAAGAGACCTGCATAGGTTTCCTGTACTTGGATCACAGAAATGTTTTGATGCTGAAATCTCAATCCATACTGTATCTGCTATTGTGCCTCAGTCATGAGAGATATTATATGAAATACTTCCATAACTTTACACACGCTCTTGTCTTTTGCAGGTGAAGTCATATTTGGCCTACATAAGTCCCATAAGCATGTGACTGCAGCAAAATATTCTCCACAGATGCTCAATGGTTTCTAGATTTGAACAGTACTATAAGACACTAGATTTTCCAATAGTCCACTTATTCTTTTCTTTAAAAAGGGGAGGAGATTCAAAATATAATCAAATGGCCCTATAAATTAACACAACTCCATAAAATGAACTTTTATTGGCTGATAGATAAGACCATGATGTAATGACTTGAAAAGTTTGATCAAAAGCATAAATTCTTATGAAAACATAAAAATGTGAAGTAGAAAGAATGCTTAAAATAAGGGCTTTCACATTTTTTTGACTATAGCCTACAGCAAGAAATATATTTAATAGTGAGTCTCTAAAACACACTGAAACAAAAGCCTCCTGAAACAATACTGACCTTCACTTTACATAATGAACTCTGATTTTTTTTTTTTTTTTGAGTTGGAGTCTCACTCTGTCACCCAGACTGTAGTGCAGTGGCCGCTCCCGGCCACCGCAGCCTCGACCTGCTGGGCTCCGGCGATCCTTCTGCCTCAGCCTTCCAAGTAGCTGGAACTACAGGCGCACACTACCACACCCGGCTAATTTTTTGATTTATTGTAGAGATGAGGTCTCGCCAATTTGCCCAGGCGGGTCTTGAACCTGCGGGCTCAGGCAATCCACTCACCTCAGCCTCCCAAAGCGCGGGATTACAGGCTGAGCCATTGAGCCCGGCTTGAACGCTGATTTTTAAAATTCTATTTTAGGTCAGGCGTGATGGTGTGTGCCTGTAGTCCCAGCTAGGTGGGAGGATTGCTTGAGTTTGGGGTGTGGAGGCTGTAGTGAGCCAAGACTGAGCCACTGCACTCCAGCTTGGGTGATAGATCAAGAAGAAGGAAGAAGAAAGGAGAAGACGATGAAAGAAGATGCAGGAGGAGGAAAGAGAGGAGAAAAGGAGGAGGAAGGAGGGGAAGAGGAAGAGGAGGAGGAGGAGGAGGAGGAAGAGTTCTCTTTTCTTTAAGACTTACTAAGTTGATTTTGAGATGCACTAACATGTTGTGACTTGCAGTTTGAAAAACACTGGCTTAAGGCTGGGCGTGGTGGTTCATGCCTATAATCCCACCAGCACTTTGGGAGGCCGAGGTGAGAGGATGCCTGAGCCCACAGGTTTGAGACCAGCCTGGGCAACTTGGTGAGACTTCATCTCTACAATAAATCAAAAAAAAAAAAAGAAAGAAAAGAAAAACACTGGTTTAGGGGCCCCACTCTAAGAGCGAGCAGCAAGCTGCGGACGCTAAATGCGTAAAAGAGGAGGATAGACGGTACTTTTAAAAGACACTAAAAGTAATGGCTGCAAAACTTCAAGATGCGATGATGTTGGATGTGTTAGTTCAGGTCCTCTCAGAAGCAGACACCAAGACAGGGACTAGAAGTGGAACGACTTATGGGCGAAAACGACGGTGACAGAAAATGAGGAGTGCTGGAGAGCCAGGACAGCTGTAACACCTGGACGCAGGCCTCACCCTGTGGCAGAGGAAAGGCAAGAAGGGCGGGGTAGGGACAGTCTCAGACTGCAGCACAGCTCTAGGACAGTTTTTACCAGGCCAAGGTCACTAGTCAGGAGTCTGCAGCTGGTGGGAACAAGCCTGCTATATTCAGACCCAGACTGGAGACAGCTCAGGGAAGCGTGGTACCATGGACTGAATGTTTATATCCCCTCAGAATTCAGATGTTGAAATCCTAAGCCCCGGTGTAATGGAATGAGGTGGACTTGGGGAGCAATTAGGTCGTGAGTGTAGAGCCCTTGTGTATGGGATTAGTGCACTTAGAAAAGGGACTCCAGGCCGGGCACAGTGGCTCAAGTCTGTAATCCCAGCACTTTGGGAGGCCAAGGTGAGGGGATTGCCTAAGCCCATGGGTTTGAGAACAGCCTGGGCAACTTGGTGAGACCTCATCTCCACAATAAATCAAAAAATTAGCCGGACGTGGTAGTGCGTGCCTGTAGTTCCAGCTACCTGGAAGGCTGAGGCAGAAGGGCTGCCAGAGCCCAGCAGGTCGATGCTGGGGTGGCTGTGAGTGTGCCACTATACTCCAGCCTGGGTGATGGAGTGAGACTCCAACTCAAAAAAAAAAAAAGAAAGAAAAGGGACCCCAGAGAGTGCTCTTACCCCTTTGTTCTGTGTTAGGATGCACCAAGAAGTCGACAGTCTGCCCTAGCAGAGGTCAGAACCTGACCATGTTGATCTTAGACTTCCAGCCTCTAGAACTGAAGAAATGTATCTCTGTTGTTCATAAGCCACTCAGTCTGTGGCACTTTGTGGTAGCAACCTAAACAGACTGAGACATGTGGCCTCAGTACAGACCTGTGGTGGACTTGGAGCGTGGCAGCTGGACCACTGCTCAGCACACTCCCTGCAGCAGGGGATCTGAGGGCCACGTTTCATGGCTCCACGCTGGAAGAGAGTCAAACCTGCCAGTTCCATGAAAGAACTAAACACAGCAGCAAAAACTTGAAGGTGCAGAACTGATGTACTAGAATAAAGAATGAATACTGCCAGAGATACATTCAGAGGGTATTACCAAGTCATGGGAAATCACACAGTGAGTCGCATCGCAGAGAAGGTGGGCGTGGGAAGGGGAGCCAGTGTATGCATCACTGTGGAATCAGAGATGCGAGAGAAGAGAAATGGCTGGCGATGCCAAGACATCACAAGAAAAACTAAGAAAATGAGCCTGAACTGAAAATGTATCAACATAAACATCAATACATGTCAAGTTCCATTTGAGAGAAACCTATCCACCCCCATATATATATATCCTAAGTAGCTGGGACTACAGGTACAAACCACCACACCACACCGCTAATTTTTTAAAATTTATTGTAGAGACAAGGCCTCATCATGTTGTCCAGGCTGGTCTCAAACTGCTGGGCTCAATCCTCTCTCCTTGGCCTCCCAAAGTGCTGGGATTACAGGTATGAGCTACCATACCCAGTCCCAAAGATTAGCATATTTTTAAATCCTATTTTTTAAAAACTAAGAAAGAAAGGTAAATAGTTTAACCCAGGAATAGCAAGAACTTGTATGACTATCAAATAGCATCAGAAATAAGGTGAACATGTTCAAATAAATATTTTGAACATTTCCCTACTGTGTAAAGACATGAATACCCAAAAGAAAGCAATACACTAAAAAAGCAAATGACCAATCCTCATTATGGGATACACACAAAAAATATATATTCCCAGTTTCACTGGGTACAGTGGCTCAAGCCTGTAATCCCAGCACTTTGGGAAGCCGAGGTGAGAGTACTGCCTGAGTCCAGGGGTTCGAGACCAGCCTGGGCAACTTGATGAGACCTCATCTCTACAATATACAAACAAACAAAAAAATTAGCCAGGCATGGTGGCGTGTGCCTGTAGTTCTAGCTACTTGGAAGGCTGAGGCGAAAGAATCGTCTGAGCCCAGCAGGTCGAGGCTGTGAGCGTACCACTGCACTCCAGTCTAGGTGAGAGAGTGAGACTCTGACAAAAAAAAAAAAAAAATTCCCAGTTTCCATTGGTACATGGTTAAAACTAAATGAACAGGAAGCAAAGGTTTTTACATAGAAAAAGAGCACAGATTCCACAGTTATGAAAGACACTGTAAATAAAGTATCTTATAGCATTTATACAGCTTCAAACTATCAAAAATAATAAAGTAGTAAAATCCAATACAACCAGGCATGCTTACTGCTGATGGTGATACAAAATGTCTTAGTCTTTTTAGAGAACAATCAAGATCTATAAAACTGTTTGCACCTTCTTGGTAAATATATTGTGGGTATATTTATTTCCATGAGAAAATAGCCCAAATGAACAAAGTAATTTGTATAAAGATATTCACTACAGAAATAGAAAACAGAAAAACTAAAACAATGCAAATGTACAAAAGAAGAACACAGTTAAGCAAGTGGGTTTGTTATGTAACAATAACTACAGCTGCTATTCAAAGTGGTAAGTGAATTTCATAAGCAGAATAGAAGAAAGTACACAGGAAAGGCAGAACACTAAGAAGGATGTAGAGCAACCGTGTAAGCATGCTCATTAACAAAGTTGACCTTTGAATACATGGGGAATGTAGAGAGAGATACATCATGTACTGAATTATTTTTCTACTGAGTTTTTAAAAAAGTCTAGGTGGGTGCAGTGGCTTACGGCTACAATCCCAGAACTCTGAGTAGCCAAAGCAGGAGAACTGTTTGAGACCAGCCTGGGCAACATAGTGAGACCTTGTCTCTAAAAAAAAAAAGATCAAAATTTTAGCTGGGCATGGTGACATGCACCTGTAGTTCCAGATACTCAAGAGGCTGAGGAAGGGAGGATCACCTGAGCCCAGAAGGTTGAGGCTGCAGTGAGTTGTGATGATGCCACTGCACTCCAGCCTGGGTGACAGAGTGAGACCCTAACTCAATAAATAAACAAATAAAAAAGATTTTTTTAAAAAGCCTGGATCTGACCATGGTGTAGATCTTTGGGCCTGTTGTGAAACTGCTCAGAGAAGGGAACTCTGGGTTAAGAGTAGAAGACTTTCTGTCCTAGAATCCCAAACTCTCCTGTGATGAGACTTTTTGTTAAATTTTAATTATAGGGGCGTAGAAATTGTCATCATAAGGTAAAAATTATCTTCCCACAGACAGAGTCATCTCATAACCTCCCCCCTCCCGCCCCCCCTTACAGCTCCTACCCACAACTGTCCTTGTTGCAAAACAAGCTTAAAAGGGCAGAGAGACACCCGATCCCCAGCAGCACCACACCCACGTCCTCCTGCCCAAGGCCGCTAAGTGGCCCTGGTGTGGCAGCAGAAATCCCCACTGAGAGACGAAGTCATTTCATCCCAAGCAGTGGAGAGTTTTCTAAAATATCAGCAGAGATTCTGAGATTCCTTCCACACTGCCTTGGCTCTCTCAAAGGAGACATCGTGAATGTATGGGACAGATTCTCACCTGAGTCCAATTATCCTGGACAACAGAAAAGGGAACACTTTCCCCAGGCACCAAAGTCAACTGAAAGCATCTCAAGGGAAGAGACCTACACACAGGTGAGGGTCTGATGGGGTCAGAAGTGGCACTTACTTCCCACAGCACATATGGTGTTTGTCGGGCATTCCCACGCCCAGCACAAGGACACAGTACTTCTGTGCCAGGTATTTCTGTGCTGCTTCTAACTTACTTAAAACCAGTTCCATCTCTTTTTTCTCTACGAGGCCCCTAGGGGGAAAGAAAGACAATTTGGATTAATCTTGCCAAACACCTATATTAATTAGCAAAAAGTCAGAATTATAATCTATTTTGAAAGAAATACAAGTGAGTTAACAGACTTCACTTACCAATGAATTTACTTTGTTTAAGCTGTGACACAGGAAAATCCATAAAGATCCTTGATATTTAATCACAGGAATCAGCATCTTAAGTGTATGGTAAATTTTATTTTTATTTTTATTTTTTTTGGAGTCAGGGTCTCACTTAGTAGCCCAGGCTAGAGTGCAATGGCACACTCACGGCCACCGCAACCCCAACCTGCTGGGCTCTGGTAATCTTTCCACCTCAGCCTCCCGAGTTGGTGGAACTACAGGCATGTGCCACCACCCTGGCTAATTTTTTTATTTCTTGTAGGGATGAGATCTCGTCAAGTTGCCCAGGGTGGTCTCAAACCCTTGGGCTCAGGCAATCCTCTCGCCTCCGTCTGCCAAAGTGCTGGGATTATAGGTGTGAGCCACAACACTCAGCCAATTTTTCACTTTTTGATAGAGTCTATACTTTCTGCCATGACTCCTCAATTTTACATATAGGCAGTTCTCATTTATATAGCACAGCTCAACTAACACATTTCCTCCACTGGCTGCTGAGGCAGCCAGCAGCCCACGCTAACTGTTTCCTAAAACCACCGTGGAGCCTACACACTCGCTTTGTCCCCCGTGTCACTACTGAGCCAGACTCCATGTGTGAACACAGCCCTACTCTCAGCTCTAAGTGTAGCTGTGTTTGCTAAGAGGGCATTTGTGGACGACTACTCTGGGAACTTTAGCATCAATTACAATAACACTGCTTCTCTGTGAAAACACAGTTCCTGTGCCAATTGAATTGCAAACGAACTTTCACAAAGACAACGTGTTCTTAGGTTACAGCATGTCTGAAGTCTAATTTTAGAAGTTTCTGCTGTACGAAGTAGTAGGAAACAATATTGCTGACGATACAGTCCAATGTACTGCTATTAAAAGGGAATGTCACCAGACACCAAACGAAAGGCATTCTAAATAGGGACAAATGACTACCCCTTCTGATGTCAGCCACTGGATTGACTCCATGAAGATGTCCCGCAGGGAGTGGATGTGTTTTAGGACAATATAGATATTTCAGAGCACAAAATGTTATCATGTGTGATGAAAGTTCCAGTGACTTGTGAGTCACTGGAACGCAATGAGTTTCTGGAGTTAGATAAAGTAGGCTCCAATGTGAAGTGCTCAAATGCCATATATTCAAACATGTCCCTCCCCATGTACACCTACCCTGTGGCCAAATCCCTGTGCCTGTCTCCTTGTTTCTTTCGGCAGCCTCATGCTCACCCATCACCCTACTCTGCCTGGGCTGCCAGAAATGCCTTGAAGCTTTCAGGCCAATGGTTTTCATGTTTTAATAAATGTATGAATTATGAAAGAACTGCCTGGGGTGCTTGCTAAAAGTACAGATTCCTGACTGGGTATGGTGGCTCACACCTGTAATCCTGCACTCTAGAAGGCCAAGACAGGAGGACTGCTTGTGTCCAGGAGTTCAAGACCAGCCTGAGTAACATAGTGAGACCTTGTCTATATAAAAAAAATTTTTTTAATTGCCTGGGCTCGGTGGCTCAGCCTGTAATCCCAGCACTTTGGGAGGCTGAGGTGAGAGGGATTACCTGAGCCCATGGGTTCAAGATCAGCCCGGGCAACTTAGTGAGACCTTGCCTCTACAATAAATAAAAAATTAGTCGGGCATGGTAGCGTGTGCCTGTAGTTTTGGCTACTTGAAAGGCTGAAGTGGAAGGATCACCTGAGCCCAGCAGGTTGACGCTGGGTTGGCTGTGAGCATGCCACTGCACTCCAGCCTGGGCAACAGAGTGACACACAGACTAGAAAAAACAAAGGTGCAGATTCCCAACGCAACCCCTTCTCCAAGATTCTGGTTTAGTAGGAACGGATAAAGCCCAGGAAATTTAAAACAATCTTCCCAGTGATTCCAAGGCAAGTGGTCTTTAGACCACATTTGAAAATATACATAAAGAACTGATATGTTGAAATGGAGGAAAAAAAAAAGGAAACAGCTTTTAAAAACCAGTCAAGGGAAGCTAACCTAGATACAAATTCCAGGCAGAGGTGGCCTGCGTCACAGTTCCATGTTTGAAAACCATTCCCCCATACTGTTTCCATGTTTTCACCGCATTTTGCAAGACAGCCTTAAACACTATCCCAGTTACTGGTTTCCATGAATTAACAAGCATATTCTTTAAAATGCAAATGATATGCTGACAAAATTTTATTGAAACTGATATATTTATATATTGCCAACAGAAGATTGGCATAATCCTTTGAAAAGATATTTGAAAATAATTTCAAAAGTCATATAAATGACCATAAATTTTGATCCAATAATATCACTCTTTGTTCTTTTTTCAAAAAATCATTCAAAATTAGGAGGACATTTTTATGCATGAAGATATTCAAGGCATTTATCTATCAGAAAAACTGGAAATTGCCAACATAGAGGGATAGAAAGGGTAGTTACACACTCAGGTACTATTCAGGGACTTGACATTTATTAGCCTAATGTATGAGCAAGTCTGCATGGGGTTTAGCCCAGGCAATAAAATCTTATCCTTGCCAGGTGCAGTGGCTCACACTTATAATCCTAGCACTTTGGGAGATGAAGGTGAAAGGACTGTCTGAGCTCAGGGGTTCGAGACCAGCCAGAGCAACATGGCAAGACCTTGTCTCTAAAATAAATGAATGAATGAATAAATAAATGTTAGCTGGGTGTGGTGGTGTGTACTTGTGATTCCAGCTGCTTGGAAGGTTGAGGCAGAAGGATCGCCTGAGTCCAGCAGGTCAAGGCTGTGGTGGCCATGAGCGTGCCACTGCCCGCCAGCCTGGGTAATAAAGTAAGACTCCAGCTTAAAAAAAAAAATTTTACCCTTAACCATTCCACTAGACTGCATCTTAATAGGTAAGTCAATTCACATACACTGACTTGATGGAAAGTTATGCCACCATTAAAAATTATAACAATGGTCAGGTGCAGTGGTTTATGCCTATAATCCCAGCACTTTGGGAGGCTGAGGCAAGAGAACTGCCTGAGCCCAGGAACTCGAGATCAGCCTGGGCAACATGGCAAGACTTCATCTCTACGAAAAGATCACAAAACTAGCGGGGCGTGGAGGCACACACCTGTAGTCCCAGCTACACAAGAGGCTGAGGTAGAAGGATCGCCTGAGCCCAGGGGGTTGAGGCTGCAGTGATCCGTGATTGTGCTCCTGCGCTCCAGATTGGGTGACAGTGAGACTCCAACTTAAAAAAAAAATCATAATGATGAAGACCGTCATAACTTGGAAAAGGCCCATGACATGATGTTTAAAAGTGCATACATAAGGCCGGAATTGGTGGCTTAGTCTGTAATCCCAGCGCTTTGGGAGGCTGAGGTGAGTGTATTGCCTGAGCCCGCGGGTTCGAGACCCACCTGGGCAACTTGGCGAGACCTCACCTCTACAATAAATCAAAAAATTAGCCGGGCGTGGTAGCATGTGCCTGTAGTTCCAGCTACTTGGAAGGCTGAGGCGGAAGGATCGCGGGAGCACAGCAGGTCGAGGCTGCGGTGGCTGGGAGCGGCCACTGCACTCCAGTTTGGGCAATAGAGTGAGACTCCATCTCAAAAAACAAAACAACAACAAAAGTGCATACATAATTGCTCAGAAGTTACAAGTCTTAAATAAGAATGGATAGAGACTCTGGGGAAGACAGTGCAGTTGATTGGCACGAGGCACAGGCTTCTGAGTTCAACAGACATGGGTTTGAATATCTGCTCCACCACTTACTAGTTAAATAGTCTCCAACAAACAATTTAACCTCTTTGAGCCCTAATTCTTCATCTGTAAAACTGAGATAAGACTGCTCTTTCTGGAATTAGTGCTTTTAATTTCCTAAAATCACCTAAGTGTATCTTTGACATCCTTTTCTATTCCTTTCTGTTCTCCTCTTGCAGGTTACAGGCTTTACTGCCAAGCGCCAAGCACTGGGTTGAGGTAATGCACATTGCCTCTTCTTATTCTGCACAATAACTCTGTGAGTTAGGTACTGCTATCATCCGTAGGCCATACCTTACTATTTGACTGAAATAAATTTTTTTCTTCCGTGCAGATACCTCAATGCAGTCTGTATTTAATTCCATCATAATAAATAAACCAACTGACTACTGAAAGCCTGAAAATGAAGTTATTATGATTTTTTAGAATTATACCATAAAATCAATACTTGTAAAGGCTAAAACTGGTTTGTTTTTGTCAATTTGCAATTGATTCCCTCTAAGGAATAGTCTATCTTATAATACTGTGTTCTAGTACACTTTTTAAATAACTAAAAAACCTTTCTTCTTTGTTATCTATTCCTGTAACTAAGAAACGGGGGCTGGGTGTAGTGGCTCATACCTGTAATCTTAGCACTTTGGGAGGCTGAACGGGTAGGACTATTTGAGCCCAGCAGTATGAGATGAGTCTGGGCAATATAGCGAGACCTCATCTCCGAAAAAATTTAAAAATTAAGCCGGGCTTGGTGGCTCAGCCTGTAATCCCACGCCTTTGGGAGGCTGAGGTGAGTGGATTGCCTGAGCCCACGGGTTCGAGACCCGCCTAGGCAGGTGAGACCTCATCTCTGCAATAAATCAAAAAATCAGCCGGGCATGATAGCGCATGCCTATAATTCTGGCTACTTGGAAGGCTGAGGCGGAAGGATCACCGGAGCCCGGCAGGTCGAGGCCGTGGTGGCCGGGAGCGGCCACTGCACTCCAGTCTGGGCGACAGAGG